GGGTGATTCCTATTGATTTTCTGCTTATGTACATTGCTCTGAAATGAGAAATAGGATTCAGGCAGAACTGAGGCATGTGGGTATGTGGTAAGTCATGGTTCCCATCCTTCATAACATTCCTGAACAGAACACTACGGGAAAGGAGGTCTTTCTTTTTAGGAAAGAGAATGTTCATGATGCAATAGCATGAGTCTTGGAAGTTCATTGAAAGGGACAGCATAGCAAAGGTGGGCTCTGTCATACGAGGAAGGATCTCATTAATTTTTTGAGAGTACATAGAGAAAGGAAGATACATTAAGGAGAACTTTTTGCAATCTACTGACTATACTAAGAGATACATTGTCAATATTCAGTCTTTCTGTACTCATGAGAGAATGCAACCAGGAACTAGCAAGGCTGATTTTGAGAAGCTGAGCTGAAGTTTCTTAGCATTTATAGCAGACATAGAAATATTTCAACCTTTGACAAGTAACTGAAATGTTCATGCTCTAGCTTCTATTAACACAGAAAGGGCACACAATAGCTTCTAATGGAGTACTAATCACAATTAACCTTGTAGCACTCTAATGCATTAGGCTCAAAATATTTTGTAAACTAGGTAATAAGGCTGCTTTGGCACCAAATGTCCTCACTAAACGTGAATGAAGCTAGGCTGCTTGTTTCAAAATTATTCACAAAAATAACAATGTATTAATATATTAATATTAATATTACTAATAACATTCAGTCATGTTTAATAATATAAGGCTTTTAAACATGTGATATTAGTCATTACAGCAAGGAAAAGCAATGAGAGGTGAAAGGCCAGTTGGTAGCTGTTGAGTTTAATGGCAAAGGTGCTAGAAACAAAATGGTTTCTTCTTGTTTGTACTACCCTGAGCACGTGAGGAACATATGTTGGTATGGTTTGCTTGTCCAAAACCTTGGGTATCACTAGCAGTTAAACTTTTGCATGAGGATGGACTGCACTACCACTAGATGGGGAGGACAGAAAGGAGAGGAAAGGAAAGAGAAAATGGCCTCCAGTGTAACATTTTATGCCATTTTTAAAAAGCCTGTTTGAAGCCGTTTTTATTTTTTCAAATGTTTACGTACTCCTCACACTCTGTAACATGCTGGAGTCTGAGAGACACTGCTGTTCATTTTTGCTGCTTTACAAGAACATCCAGCAGCTGCCTTGGGCTCACCAGGGCCGGCTTCAGTTGCAGAGCCAGCATTGGTCAAGAGTGCTGGCCAGGCTCTGCATGCACTACCTCACAGGCTCCATTGCCCACAGAGACCTGCCAGTCATAGGAAAATGGCCTCGGTCCCACAAGTACATACTGAAGCCTCACTGAAGAGGCTACAAAGGGTTTTGGCATTGGAGGAACCTGTGAATGACTTGCCAAGAGAATCACGGGGACTGTCTTGCAGCAATTAGGGATACAAAGATATTTAATGGCCTTGAACTGATCATCAAGCCAGTATTTTTCTGCTGCGTTTTGTTTTTAATCTGAATTCAGTTTGGTGCGTTAAAAATAGTGCAGCAAGCTTTGGAAAAATCTGTTGGGTTTGCTGGAGTCTAGGCATTTATACCATAGTGGCTGTTGCTCTAATTAAAAAGCAAAGCTCACATGACAGAAACTATTCCCATGCGCTGACATTTCAATGCAACTACCGCAACCCAAAACTCAATCTTCGCTTTGTTCCCCTCTTTGTGTGTCTCAGGCCAAGAGGAGCAAGAGCTGTGGATATGTGCGTGTGCTGCTCAACGGGTTCGCATGGTAGACACAGGGAAAAGTGCATTTTTCTGAGGAGGAGAGAGCTAATTACTCTGCCCGGCATCCAGAATGACTCAGTAAGCCAGTAAAATGGCTCCAAAATTCTTTACTTGCTTTGTGAAGGGGAAGAAATACCAGAGTGATTTCCTTAGCTCTGACAAAGTCGGCGGTCCTCATTTTTCCAGTTCATTCAGGCTCTGTACCCATTTGACTTTCCATCCTCGTTTCAAATATGATGTTGATTAAGGCATTGGAAACAGAAATCCGCTCAAGTCAAGCATTTTCTCAGAGCAACTCCTCACAACCAGGCGAGTAAAGCCACCACCCTTTGACATTTGGAAATGAGAGCCATGAAGCCACCCACCTGGGAATGTGGCCATTGGCTGGCTCTGCTCTCACCCCTGTAATCTCAATGCTCAAAACCAAGTACTCCCCAGTAGTTTCTGCGTGGAAAAGAAGAAATATATATATATGTGTGTGTATGGGTGTGATCTTCATGCTAATAGACTTCTAATACAAAACAGTCAATAGGAATTTTTCTTTTAAAAGCAGCCAAAGGGTTAATGATGTGAAGGAAAATAAGACTGCAGAGCCACAGCTGGTGGCTTGCTCGAGTTTTTCAGGCTTCTCAGCTGGTAGACTGGGGGTTGGCTGCTCAACCCCATCCAGAGGCACTCTGGGATTGAGGAGAAATCTTTGCCACGGTGCTGTGAGATCTCCTTATCTTCCATGAAACATGGGCACCATTCCTCACTCCGCTGTCTTCCTTGGCTGGAGTAGGCCTGGCTATCATGAGGGGGACATGGATGTGTTTCTTTGAGATGTGCATGCACAGCACAGAGGAATGTGAGTGACCAGGGAAGTGGCTTAGGAACTTTTGTAATATCTCTGGGAAAGAGTATCCTTTAGAAACAGATAAATCCTGTAGTGCTGATTCCCCCAGGTGTGCATCCACGTTGCGTAGGCACTGGCGAGATACTGATGAATTACACTGCAACCCCAATTTTGATTCAGCCCTGAGAACAAATGGCCTCTTTGAAGCTGTCCTGTGCAGGGCACCTTCTCTGTAGCACTGCAAAGCCTTTGATCTCCCTCCTAAGCGGCCTGACAGGTCTCTTCCCTACGCACTGTTCTGCCTCCACCACAGGGCCCATCCCACATCCCTTGGCCAGGACACAGCCACCATCATCCTGAATCATAGAATCATAGAATGGCCTGGGTTGAAAAGAACCACAATGATCATCTAGTTTCAACTCCCCTGCTATGTGCAGGATTGACAACCAGCAGACCAGGTTGCCCAGAGCCACATCCAGAAGCCCTCTCCTGGTGGATGCAGAAGTCACCCCTTGTGTTGTAGGCTCTGACATTAAAAAATCCTGCCCTGTTTGTCCCATGGATTGCATCTATTCAGTGCTACCAAACTCTCCTCCAGCTCTGACCATTGCAGCAAAGCACTAAACCACATACCTTTGCCCTCCCCACTGTGCCTCTCTGGACCTGATGACACACAAACCTACTTAGCTCAGCTCAGCGCTTGCTGCAGAGCATTTCCCAGTGCTCATCTGCAAACTGTAGGCTCCCAGGGGTAGCGGCCACCCTCTGAGCCTGGGGCATCGCTTCCTTTCCTCCAGTGCAGAGGGCAAACAACGACCTCTAAAGTCAGCAGTGTGACCTGAGGACACACGATGTGGTGGAAACACGAAATTCACTCGTAATAATGGCTGCCACACTCCTGTAGCACGGGCAGCCCTTTTACAGGGTTCTGCCAGACCCAGCAAGCCAGCTGCGAGTTGGAGCTGAGCCCTTTCAAACTCAGCAAGCCCTGCTCTAATGAAGCTCATACCTCATTACCGGCTCAGCATTGATTTAATGAGTTCCCTTTAGAAGTCTCCAATACCGCATTCCTCAGAAGATTAAGGTCTGCTTTTTGTCCTAGCTGATGTTGTTACTGAGGAGGCATGAGGATCAGCGCTATGCCCTGCTTACCCCTGGGTGAACCCCATTTAAGCAGTATGTTTACAGCAGGAATCCTTCCAAACACTGCACAGATGGAATTTCACATCTGACAAAAGAAAGAGACAATGTTTATCAGGCCAGAAAAAAAATAATGCTTAACATTGGCTGGGTTTGCATTTGCTTGCCCATGTGCTTTGGTCTCTCCTGTGTTTTCAGTGACAAAAGTACTCTCCAGAGAAAGGTTCTGAGAAACACTCTTGTTTATAAACTCACCCCAGTGGAAATGACAGCCAATGTGATTGACTGACACCTCTGGAAGGCACTCTCACAGCACCAGCCTCCTCAGGGCCCTCTTTCCGATGGTGGTTCCGTGCAATGAGGCTGAGGGGGTCCCCCAGGCAGTGAAAGGGGACTGCAGGGGCTGTTAGCTCTGCCATTGCCTGATACAGGAGAGAGAAGGGATGGGGAAGGGCATCTTTGCTGTTTTTTCTTTTTAAAGGAGCAACAAACAGCACAGACGTGTGAAAGGAACTCCAAGCAGGAGCACCAGGGATCAAGACTGGAATTCTGCAAGTCAGAGATGAGTTGCTCATGAACCTCTTGGTAGCTTTTGCTTTGTTGCATGAAAGGCATTTGCTTTGTGGCCAAGGAATTGCCAACAGAAAGAAGAAGAGGACGGACTTACAGGAATGCCAAAGCATTTTTCTGTCGAAAAGCTGTGGGCTCTCTGCTGAATGGCGTGAGCTCTCTCCTTCAGCCAGAACACACTTCCCCCACAACTTCCCCTGTGCCGTGACCTTTCGCTAAGCCAGGTGGGGAACGGGAGCTCAAGATCCTATTAACATCTACCGATATCGACGAACGGCTTCGCAAGTGCGGCGGGGGCTCCCACACCGCTACCGCACGGCATCACCCGGCACCTGCCTGCCCTGTAACTTCTCCCTAGGAAAACTCAACCCCCGGGTAGGCAGTCCCACACATCTCCGTGCCCTCCAGCATTTCTCTGCAGGCAAAACTTTGCAAACTATCGGGAGGCTGCCCTCGGAGAGGGGTCCCGCACCTCTGCCAAGATCCTGCCAGCCGCACCGGGTGTTCACGGGCTGCCGGGTGCCCCTTCCCCTTTAAATAAAAATCAGAATCCTCTCCAGACCCCCCTCCCTTTCAGCAGAGGCTGAATGCATCACGCGTCCGACTCTCCGTGCAGGAACAGGGCGAGCGACGCACACACCGCCTGCGCCACCGCTGCGTCCGGAAACGCCGCTCTGCGAAAAACAGCGAAAGTACCTTTTGAATTCTTCCATCAATATCCAAATAAATACACTTGGGCCGGTAAGTTGAGGAGGCAGATCCCATCTTGCTACTGTTGGGCTTTTACTGGGCTTCCCACCAGAGCAGAAAACAAGGCTTATCCCACCAGGCTGAGCCACCGCTGCCTGGCAGCTCGGTGTCCCCTCTCCGCTGTGTCCCACGGCACTCTCATTCTGGGAAGGTCCCTCCTCTAACGTGCACGCGTTGTTTGTGCCCGTCTCCCCGCCACCTCCTTCCCGTGGTGCTCCCCTCCGCATCCAGCTGCCGTGGGCAGGAGGGGGGAAGCGGCTCCAGATGCGTCCATTCCCATGGCAACAGTCCTTTTTGGCATTCCCGTGACACATGCCAAGCCGAATGGCACTTACTGATGGGGGGGAGACCTCCTCCATCAGAATGCTGAGAGGTGTCATGCATTTGTGTGTTGAAACAGGACCATAATTGCTAATTAGTGCTGACACTTTCAGTGAGCTCCTTGCAGGCTGCAAGCAGGCTGAAGGTACCCTTAACCATCCGCTGGGGCTGCCTCCACCAAAACCATGCAGTTTGATTTCCACATCCCTCCTGTCATTGTTAGATGGAAAGAGAAAGATGGAAAGGGGAAGCTGTAGCCGTAGAGTTGTGAGTTCCAAAACCACAAAGGAGACACAAAGCCCGTACTCTCTCATGAAGGAATGGGGGAGTGCAAAGCACCCTGGGAAGCACATCCAAGGTGTAGCCAAAAAGCCAGAGGGGAGCAAAGCACATGATGGCCAACCCTCTGAGAGGACACCAAGTGCTGTGTGTCCACACCATTCTGCTGAGCCCACGCTCACTGGCAGCTGGAAGATCAGCAGTGATAATGCTGGGTCGCAGAGGGGAGAGGACTTGAAGACAGCCTCTCCTCTGTCTTTGCATGGCACAGGCTGTGAGCACAGTGTGGCTGAGTTGCTTTTTCTGGGGCCATCACCATTTTTTTTTCTGAAGCTTTCGGGAAAGAGCCCTGTAGGGCTGTTGAGAATCCCATCGGCTATCCCAATGGCTATCCCATCAGTTATCTCACTTGCTATCCCATTGGCTGTTGGGATATTCTATCAGATATCCCATTAAAAATCCCACAAACTATGTCACTGATTATCCCATTGGCTGTTCCATTGGATGTTTTATCAGCCACTCTCTCCTTTCCTGTTTTTTTTTCTGTTTTGCTTCTCTTGGGATATTTTTTTGCCACCATGAGTCAGGGCTGCTAATGACTGAACTGCTGGTTACAGCAGTACGAGCTCCTCCATCATGTCTATGGCAGAAGCTTCTTCAGTTCAGCTTTAACTCTTTTCCGTATGCCTATGGAAAGCGTAGGACTTTCTGGGTATGGAAATTTTTACTCACTTCTTTTACTCGCACATTTCTTTCATATGCTGTCAGGTTTCTACAGGTCCAGGTCTGGAAATGATCGTATTTGATGCTAATTACAGATTGCTAACACTGAGACTTTCATCGAAATCCTGAATTTGAGCCCTCACCATGTAGCAGTTCAGTTCCTCACCTTGCTCTCAGCTCCAGTTCCATTTCTTGGTCATCTCAACAGCCGTGATCACGCACATAGCCCACTTTCCTCATCAAAGCCCAGAGACATGGGCTGACAGGCAACTGCAGCATTTTTTGACAAGTCTGGTCTGGAGTCCAGGGTGTGAAATACACACTCTAATGGGCAGCTTTTTTCACTTTAATACAACAATGCTGGCCACCACAGTGATAATGCGCTCTTTACTATGTTTACAATCATTGTTAAAATTCTGGTACCAATGGTTTTTGCTTTTACAATTATAGAATAAAATGATAGAATCACCTGGATTGGAATGGACTCTTAAGGATCATGTGGTCCAACTTGCCTGCAGTGACAGGGACACCTACAGCTACACCACGTTGCTCAGAGCCCCATCCAGCCTGACCCTGAGTGTCTCCAGGAATGGGGCATCCACCATCTCTCTGGGCAACCTGTGCCAGCACCTCATTGGCTTGAAACTTTCATATGACACTTCAAATCATGGGAAAGATACACACTTGTCCACATGTGAAGTACTGGTCTGGGAAAGACAAGAGGCCATGGGCACAAACTAGAACATAGGAGGCTATCTAAACATTTAGAAACAATTACTCACTGTGCAGCTGATGGAGTCCTGGCTCAAACTGCCCAGAGGCTGTGGGGTCTCCTCCTCAGAGACCTTCAAAACCCAACTGGATGTGGGCCTGGGCAACCTGCTCTGGGTGTCCCTGCTGGAGCTGGAGTTGGCCCAGATGGACCCAGAGGCTCTTCCAACCCCAAGTTATCTGTGGTTGTATTAAGAGCAGTCCCAGGCCATGGGTGATTCTTTCACTTCATGAAAGCTCTCTGCTTTCCACTTCCCCCTCTTCATTTCCCAGTCTCATCTTCGTAATCCAGTCCTCTGTTCCAAGACCTTCATTTGAAGTATTTTCATAGATTCAAGAGTCCCCAAGTGCCTTGCAATCTCGCTTTTGACCCAGCTGTATACTGTGTGAAGGATGAGGTGCATACACGCAAGCACAAACCATAGCCAAACACTAATGGCAGATTCATCCAGCATACTGGAGCCCTGATGCAGAGCTTCTGGGAAAGCCCAGCTATAAAATCTGTGTTTTTATAAGGTTGTGGAAGAAATCAGCAGATCCGACTGGAACCTTCAATAGCTGATGGGGAAAATGTAAATGAAATTAACTGCGTCTGGAGTCACTTGTTACATCATTTAGAGGGCTGAGAGCCAAGAAGTGGAAAAGTAAATTCCCTCTACTGGACAAGGTTGGCTCATGTTCTTGGCAAGAAAGTCTGAATGGGGGATCACAATTTGTGCTCCCAAACAGGAGGTAAGCAACCCATGGCTATACTGGATGAAAACTGCCTGGGGTTTTACACAGCATGGGAAAGTAAAGTATCCTCAGATGCATATTCTGGGTTACTGCCATCTGAAAGCTCAGTGCTACTCAGCACTCAGCACATATCAACACTCATATATCCTGAAGTTTTGTGACAACCCCAGGATTAACAAAAGGCTACTGACATTGGCACCAGTCTTGTGCATGCATGGGATGGGGCCTGGGGAAAGAATGTCTGCATGCTTCTAGGTGAAAGAGCTGACATGGGCAGAGAGAGGACAAGCAACCACCTGTAAAAGAAGGGATATGATGGCTGGGAAATGCTGCACTGCACCGGGGGGGGGGAGCTGCTCAGCAGGCTGGGTGTGTTGGCAAACTGAGGGCACTGGGTGGGAAATGATTCCTCAGCTGTGGCACACAAGCATCCCATGAAAAATGCCTGGATGCCTACCTGTGCTACCTATTGTAGGCTACCTGCTTTAGCAGAGGGATTGGACTCAATGATCTCTTGAGGCCTCTTCCAACCCCTGCAATTCCGTGATTCCATGAGAGGCACAGCCATGTAAACCTTTGGTGAGTCAGTTTTAAGGGACTTTGAACAACTCTTTGCAGTAAACACTCTATTTCAATGCAATTTTTAAAATATACATCAGATACACACATAACACTTTCCCACATATTTTTTCATACTTTTTTCTTTTTGCATAGAGCTTTCAGTGCAGTTTCCTCTAATGGGCAGAAGTCCATTGTATTCTCTCCATACAAGAGATTAAATGTCTTATCTTTTAGTGTGGGAGGCCAGAACAGAGCCACAGATTCAGTGTGAAAAAAATAACAAAGACTTTGTGGGCCCAGGCAGCGCTGAAAATTTTCTGACCTGCTATAGCAGAAAGCTGAAAGCTGTATGAAATAAGGACATTTTAAACACTTTTGCAGTTTCTGAAACTAGATTGAGTTCAGTGACGCCGTTCCCTGGGAGCGTTACCTAGACAATCACCTATTATACATCCCTCCATTAGCATCGTCAACATTTCTGAAAGCTACAGGTCATGAGCAAAGCAAGACAGAAGATTAGATAAGAAATCATTAGTATCTACTTTCAAATAACACATTTCTGATCTTTCTTTTCACTCGTCTCTGTTTTTTTGGATTTGCTTGTTCACCCAGGTCATGTACGTGAGCTTTCCTCTACAAGTTTGAAAGCCAGAGATGTTCACCAAGGAACAAAATTGAACTGGGATTTTCACGCCATAATAAGGCTCTGGTTCATGAGGAAAACAGTAAATAGCATACAATTGATGGTATGGTCAGGAGAAAGGGCAGCACTGACGTATTATAGAAAATGAAATGGAAGCATTTTATGGAGTGAATGGCGGGCCTCACACAAAAACAGCTGTATTTTGGTCAGTGTATTTCACCATCCTTTCACCCTGTTTCATTTGGTTCTATCCCACGCAGCTTCCTCCTCGGTTTGCACCACAGTGCTGTGTCTCATCCCACACTCCCTCCTCTTCCTGAGCCTCTGCTCGTACAGATGGTCCCAGGAAAGCCCCGAGACCAGCAACATTTGTGTTGAGATATGAATGCTGAAGTTCAAGATATCACAAGAGGTAAGGGAAAACAGCTCAAGGCAGTGTTTCCCTTCCTATATTGTGCACAGACAAGGACTTAGTATGCGTGGTATCCAAGGAGCCCATCCAGCCTCCAGGCACAAGGGCAGGATGTCCAAGGCCATCTGTCCAGCAGCCAAGAACTATGGAGACTATATCCAGGTTTTAGGTTCAGGAACAGTTGCAGTGACACAGGGGACGAGGGACACCACCTTCCAAGCCCTCCTCCTGTCTCCTGGGTTAATCCTAGGTTGATGACCACATGCAGGGTTTGAGTGTGCCTTCTGCACCCTCCTGAGGCAGGCAGTGGTCAGCCTCTCCATCGCCAGTCCTGCCTCTTGGAGTCATCAGAGCTCATTGCTGCTTTTCACCTCCAGGCTTGTGTGCTACCCATACTCTTGTGTAACAGTAAATAGATGTCCTGAGGTCCTGACATGTGTGCCATAAACACGGCTTCCTCAATTGTGTCAGAGTGACAAGGCTCCCTTAGCAGCACTATTCTTGTTGGAGGGGCAGCCCTGCTCAGGCTGGGGCTCAGAGGCCAAGGCAACGGTCACTCTGTCTTTTCACAACTGTGTGGCCAGTGTCCCTAGAAACAGACCATGGGCACTACAAATTGCACAACCCTGGACTGATCAGGAGCCACGTGAGGGAAATCAGGTTTTGCCAAGGGTTACCAC